TGGAGGAAGCTTACTCCGCCCGTACCTGTGTGTATATATTAGCAGTTAGAAAATATTACTAGTTTAGGCCTATTATAGGTCTTGGGGGGCCATGCCCCCCCACCACTTGTCAAAATTCTGGAAACCGGACGAATCGGGTCGAAGTTAGCGTTTTCGGAATATTCTGATTTTTTTTAAGGAAGTGAAGCTAATTCCAATTCTGTTCCCAAGAAAAAGAAGGAAAATGAAAACCGGAAAAATCGGGTTTTCGGAAATTTGAATGAAAATAATCAGCAGTTTCGGAAAATTCTAATTCTCAGTAATCTAAAATATAAGACATAATTTTGATATCACAAGTGTATTCTTCGGGGAAAAAAAAAGTCGGAATTCTCAGAATTATTTTCGGAAATTAAAAATGAATTGGAAATCGGAATCTCGTTTATATTCCAATTCCAATCCAAAAGAAAAAATCGGAAATTTTAGAAATTTGGAATGAAAAAAATTGTTCCAAAATCGGAGAATTTCAGATGACAATCGGAAATCGGAAATTTTGTTTCCCCTTCCCTAATCCCAAAAAAATATTAAAAAAAAAAAAAAAAAAAAAGCTCCACCACTACTTAAAAGAGTGTATTTCATACGAGAGGGTAAGATCGGAAGATTTATATCTATACATACCAACATATGCGAAGAAGAGGCAGTATAGAGCAGCAACAATCGGTGCTGGAATTGAAGCGAAGACAGCTCCAAATTTACCTGTGAAGATACTTGTTGATCATTAGCGGGGCCCACATGGAAAGAACTCCGTTTATCGAAAAAAATCGAACATGACGAAAAAATAGTTACCAAGAACTGAAAAGAAAAGCATGAATGCAGCGGATATTTGTACTACTCTTCGACTGCCAACACGAGTCAGTGCTAACAGGCCTGCATTCTCACTACATACAAGAAGAAAAAACGCATTTATTATCTTATGGAATTAATTAATTAAAAATTAAAAAAATTAAAAAATGATAAATTTTGAGGTTCTTACATAGATACGGATGATCCATTACCGGTGCCAAATAATCCAGATAAAAGGATAGCAATACCCTGGTATGTGTAACAACAATAAAAAATATATATATTAATCTTCTGACATGGGAGGCTAATATTTAATTTATGAAATTAAAAAAAAACGTGCATTTGAAATTTTATCGAATTTACCTGCCAGCCTACACCACGGCTGAGAATCGACGGGGGCAAGGGGGTCGCGCTGGCATATCGAGACACAGCAATAAAACCACCAGTTGACTGCATTTTAAAATTCAAAACATAAACAACATTTTTAGTTGTAATTTTTGTTAAATTATATATATATATAAACTAATGAGACAGAATTATAATAAAACGAATATATATAAAAAAAAAAAACAAAAAAAAACCTCAACAAGAGCAACAAATGCAGCCATCATCATAGCAAAGGCTTCACCGGCATCAAATGAAGGAGCTCCCCACTGGAATGGGTACGGTACGCTTATCCTGCACGTGCAAGCGCAAGATAATAACCATTACTACTCGTTCCGGATTAATCAAGCTAAGTAACTGTCCAACAATATTTTATTAAATTATTACATGACTAAGAAGTTACCATCGAGCAGCACTAATAAGTCCGGCACGATCAGTCCGGCAGCTAATTTGGGTCTTGGGTGGTTTTCCATTATAAGCCCCACCGACAGTAAGTAGATGAGCGTAAATCCACACAATAACCACCGAAAATATGACAGCAAATCGGTCGAATATATTTTTTCCGGGACGTATTATGTGTGCCAAATACTGTAAAGGAGACGGTATATATAAAATGTAAGATAAAATCGAGCTTTACCGACAAAAGATACGAAGCTAACTTTCTGTTTGAAAAACGTTACCTGAGAAAACAAGACCAGAATCACGAGCTGTGGCAACCCGATTTCAACGCATTTTGCTACCTAAACAACCAAACCAAGATATAAAAAAAAATTAAAAAAACAAATTAAGATTTAAAAAAAAAAGTAAAAAATTAAAATTAAAATGAGATAAGAGGGGAATATTCTCATCATACCCCAGGAAAACCAAACTCGTAAAGCCCAAAACCAGCCATAGCAACCAAAGGAACAACGGACAGTGGACTCAGAAACCTGCGGCATCGTAAAATAACAAATGTCAACTAATAAATCCGAGTTGGTTTTCGCAATAAATATTAGGTTCAAAATCAACGCGATTTTTAAACTATGTTTTACGAAATGTAAAATCCTATCGTTCATCAACTATATCGAGTACAAAAACGCACACAGCAACTTCTCGACTTCAATTTAATCTATTATAACTGTGCTAATTGACTTAATTTAAATAAAATAAAAAAATAAAAAAAATAAAAAAAAGATAAAGCAAAATAACCGTGTAACGTTACGCCAAAGACCGCTGAAACCGAGCACTATTTGAATAGTCGAAGCGACAATAAGTGCCCCCTGAGTGGCCCGCATGATTTTTTTGAACCTCTGCATCGTCATTTACAATAATAAATCACATTAGAAAATAAATATATCAATTCTAATTCTCTGTACAAGGAAGCTAAATATATTCATGCAATCTTAAACTAAGGACACAGCGGCTAAATGGGTCGTCAGATTACTAACCGAAACAGGATCCGGGTCGTTCCATCGACCCGAGAGGATAATCGAAATTGTGGGTGCGACAAAGGTGTAAGAGCCTCCGATCACAACAGGTAATCTGGTTCCGAACCATGTCTGTAAAAGGGTGTTCAATCCAGCAACAAACAGCAGTGTCTGAATAACTTTCGCTTTCTCCTCCTACGAGAGAAAAAAAACAATAATAAATAAATAAATACGAACGGTAATTTAAACAGAGAATTAAGTTAAAAAATTGCGTAATTATGATTACAAATAGCTCACATTTCCTCCTCCCATTTGAGGAACGAGGGCAGTTGGTATGATGACTGTTGTGCCGAGCATCACTAGATAGTGTTGAAATCCAAGAAGGATTGCTTCGGCTGCAAAATCGAATAACCCCATGATGTAAGAAACTTATAAAACATTTCGGACCAAAATACAATGTTGTTTTAGGTGATCGTTAAAAAGTTGATTGTGATAACTAGTTAAATCCCACAAATACCCGAGGAAACTTGATATTTCAAAGAGCATAGTTCGTTTACGGAAAGTGGAATGCGAAGTACGACCGCAGAATACTAAAAAAGATTCTTCGAAAAGCAAAAGGGCGAAGCGGAATCGAAAACTTGCAAAAACAGGGAAGAATAGAAAAGGGCATCTCAAGAATCTGAATCTATATATATATATATATATAAGATGCTAGTTGACCACACAAGGTTATAATCAGGCGGCATCAAGAAACAATAGATTCGCAAACAATTATTGAGAATAATCGACACAAAGAATATACACACACTATATAAAGTATATGGAAAATGACTAAGTTAAACACCAGATATTTCAAGCAGAGAGAAAAAGAAAAAACGGAACACAACCGCTAAGGAATTCCCAACCACTCATACTAAATTATACAAAAAAAATACTAATTAGTGACGAAAAATACATTAGCAACAAAAAATAAATTAGCGACGAAAAAAAATTTAGCAACTAACGCCATGGAGGAGGACTGGTAATGCAGTAAGAAACATTGGGAAGCTGATCTTTAGGTGGGTGTGGTGATGGTTCATCTGCTTTTGGTGCTCCACCGCCTGCCATTTTTAGCTTCTATTTTTTTATTTTTTTTCTTCAATTTCTGTAAGAACAAAAATTAAATTAGCTTTTCAAGATTTACATTCAAAGATTGTGCAGCAAAATACAAAACCCCCCAAATCTAACAATACCCAGCTGAAAAATAGAAAACCCAGAAAGCTAAGATTCATAAGTAAATGAAACCCAGATAAAATCAGCAAATTAATGAAGAATTAAAATGAAACGACGCCGCTTAAACCACACCCCCACCGCACCTCTTTCTGCAAACAGTAACCCCAAAGAAAAACGAAAGTGGAAAAATGAAGTGAAGGTGTGGAAGTGAGCTTAATAAAGTCAGTAATCAAAGAGAAAAAGCTTCAGCAGAGAAGAAAAAAAAAAGTGGGTTTTTAGAGAGAGAAAGAAGGAATTGAGAAAGCTTTTTCAGGAACTGTAATGGCGGATGGTGGAAAGGAACTGTAGAGAGAGAGAGAGAGAGGGGGAGGGTAGAGTGAGAAGTGTGAGCAAGAATGTATGTACCTGCCCCAAAGGCGCTCTACTCTACTGTTATAGAATGCTTTCTCCCCTTTTTTTTCTCTCTCCTACATTTTTTTTCTAGAGAGAGAAACCTAAAAGCAAAAACAAATGTTAAAAATTAGAGAGGGGAGAGAATCTTTCAGAAAGTATAATTTAGTCACTTTATTTAATTAATTAATTAATTGTTTTTTTTACATGCATAGTGTTTTTTTTTTTTTGGTTTGTTTCTGCAGTTTTACTCTCACCAACACACATGCTCTCTTGATTTGTTGATAATGTAATATATAAATAAATATTAATAAATATTCGTTGGGTTGGGATGGATCGAAGTGATTTGAATTGGATTGATATTTATTACTAACTAATTAGTTAGTTAGTATATTGTTAGGTTTTTTGATGTTACAGCTAAAATTCAACGGTTAAAATCGGGTGTTAAATGTGAATTTCGAGTAATATTCATAATTTAATATTCCCTCTGTCTCATATTATATGTCTTTTTAGAGAGTTTTTTTTGTCCCAAATTATTTGTCATTTTAGATTTTCAATGAAGTATTAATTGCATTATTTTCAATTTTACCCTTAATCACTCTTAATTAATTAGTTGAGAATCAATTAAATGTCGAGGATATTTTAGTAATTGTATTTGTTTTTTACTATAATCTATGCACATTTATTGATTTTCTTAATATGTGCAAAACAACCCAAAACGACATTTAAATTGGGACGGAGGGAGTAATTATTATATCATAATTTGTAACCATTTTCATTTCATTTTAGTGTAGTTACTAACTTTATTCAATAGCAACATTTTAATTGCATAGTGCATACTATAACTTTAGTGTTGATCTGAATTAAGTTGAGTCTTGTCAGTTGTACATATTACTAATTTCTACTATTTAGTCAATGTAACTCGACAGTAACAACCAAATAAGACCTTAAATAATATTTTAACTTATTTTTTGAAATGGAATGGATATTTTTCTCTAATTCGCCATTTACATAACAAATCACAAGATATTTTCAACAAAAAATGAATGAATTTGAATTCACCACACCCATGAGGACTTAGTTTTGCCTTGAGGAAGCACACAATAACAATGACAATTATTCTACATGCCAATGTGATGTGATTTGTTGAAGTACGAGACCACGATATTCAACGATCTGAATTCGATTTTTTTACCAATTCGTTCACTAATGGCGGTTTAGGTTCATACGTAAAAAAAATATTACAACCATTCTTATCATATAAGGGTTTTGTAGAAGCTACACCCGATTAAATACATCAGGTGATTTTAAATCATAGATGTACACATAATAACACACAGTCATGTGTATACGTACTTAGCGGATGGTTAATCGTAAAGAACTACGGTTTAAAACCACCAGATTTATTTCATCAAGTGTAGCATCGCACAGACCTCGTATAATAATGAATGTGATGTACTTGGCCTCAAAATTGAAATCCATTTAAGAATTAAAAGATCTTCATTTAAAAATGTAGAGGGGCTTCATAATATTTAATTTTGTTGAAAGACTAATATTCCCTTGAATAAGTCTTTGATTATTAGTTAAAGTATGTTAGTTATGGAGTAATCAAAGGAGGTGATGTTCATCAATCAAAAATTGAATAAAGAAATAGGTTTTGGATTGACCAATTTGACAATCAAATATTTTGTACATACATTAGAAAAAGGAATATTGGGATACCCAAAAAGGTTGAGTGAGGCTCCACTTTAGGGATTGCAGTGCACACACACACACAGTATACCGACACATTCTTTTCATACCCTTAAGCAACTCATCTACAACTTGCTCCATAGGCTATTGCGAAAACATTATTTTTGGGATAACACTATCTTTTATTACCATTATACCCTTGAGTCGAATAGCAAAGGGTGCACTTGTTAGATTGCATTTTCTTTTTACGATAGCTTGCAAATCATATGAAATACGTATAAGTTCGAGTTAGCGATCGTTGGCAAAGAAATTTCAGGTGTGTGGATAGCAAAAGTCGTAGATAGAATACGAGCAGTTGTATAGTTCGAATATTGAACGTACCTTAACAAATGAGTTAGAATATTTATTTATACCTCGTTGATCGGACTGGAGTTGGTTAATTGAGATTGTCGGGCTCAAACCTTATTTGAAGGTGATTGAGTCTTTGTTGTAGTGGTCTTCCATATTGAGTTCGTGGCCATATAGATAAATAAATTATAGGTCCATTGGGTTAGCCCGATTAGGCATATCATTACTAGATAGTTTCATTAATACATACATTAGGGCCTCGTTTGGTTGGCAAGATAAGATTAGTCAAGATAAGATTAAATAATCTAATGAAACCCAACTATTTTATTGGAGCTTGAAACATCCAACGAAAAAACTCATTAGAAGGGAAGATAAGCCAAGATAAGACAAAATAAACCATGAATATCTAATTTTGGCGGGTCGATTCGGCAATTTATTGAGGCTTAGTTGTTTCTACGACCGAATATTTAAATGTGTATGCATTATTATTTTATGAATGTATAGAAACAATTATTTCGAACAAGAATTAAAAATAAGAATATCTATTAAAAAAAATTAATTAACCAAACTCGTATGCTTGAATAATATAAATAAGAGTAAACTACGGTCAGCCTCTAAAATAAGATCAAATTACCAAAAAAATCTTTACGTTTGAATAATTGCAACCAACACCCTCAACTATGTATTGTTTTACATGCATATTCTTATGATGTCAAATTTTCCTATTGAATAAGAGGGTTTTTTTATAAAACAATATACTGTTGAAAGGTTATTTTTGTAATTTGATCTTATTATTGTGGGTGGACGTCATTTCCCCTAGAAAATTATGACTATTTTTATTTACTTTTAAAATTTTGGGTTTAATTATTTTTGTTAATTAGGTTAAACAAAGTTGACAGGTGCTAAAATGACAAATGCATGAGTGACAGCACAAATCGGTGAAATGCATGAGTATGCTCAGTGATGTAGGGGCTGGATAAGCCACGTGGCACTCAATTTTTATTTTTTGGATTTTCTTGGGATTTTATTGTTATTAGGCAACCATAATAATATTTTAATTTGGTTGTTGAATTGGCTTTTTCGTGCTTATCCCTATCAATATTCACTATTGTAGTTGTTTTTCTAACAGTACTTATTACGGGTAATTACCATTTTGCCCCTTTTATTACAAATTAAAAAATGAAAAATTATCAAACGTACTTCCCATATGTAGCATCTGCAAGTATGAATGGCAGCGGAGCGGGTATCCTCGAAAAAGTGCAATACCAGAACCATTAGCATTTAATATAGCTCAAACCATGACTATACCAAACCATTTAAAAAGTTCATGGAAAAACCAGAACCATTACCGTGAATATCCGAGTACCCACGGGTACCCATTTACCATTTAAATTACGATAATAAAAAATAACTTTGGGTCCGATAACGTTTAAGTAACTCTCAGAAAAGAGGAAGAAAAAAAGAAAAGAGAAAAAAATATATCCTCCCTAAATTATATAATATTTTATTTAAAATTTTGCCAAAATATTTTTTTTATTCATATTTTGTTGAATGAATATATATATATATATATATATGGAGATATATATATATATATATATATATATATATATATATATATATATATATATATATATATATATATATATATATATATA